CACCCGTCCTAAACTTTCTTGGACATCAACGCCTCGGCGCATGCATGAAAATGAGCATTGCAACTGAACAACAACAAACATCGCAATGTTCTCCGGGTATATTTTAGATGACAGTCATAAAATATCAATGAGAAGTAAGTATACTTTTGGACGAGCATAATTTCTATTCCACGGCTCTACAAATTTCTTTGCACTAAATCCTATACGGCGAGAAAGTATTCTAAAATCCGTCCTTGGCGCATCAAGGGGCGACGTAAAGAACGCTCCATGACGAGGAAGTCAAGCTCGAGCCATCATTGGCTCAGGTCGGGGTAAACAAATGCACGTCAGCGCGTTATTTTTTTTAATTATAATGCAATTAAATGCAAAGGTGCAAGCGAGCTGGACAAGAATGACGAAAGTAATTCCTGGAGAAGGGGAACAAGAGGGACAAACATAAATCTCCAAACACAGCTAGGTGACTGGTGAGCGACCGAAAAAATCCGCCTGGTCCGGGTATCGAACCAGGGACCTCTCCATTACAAGTGGAGAGCTCTACCAACTGACCTAACCAGGGGCTAGACGTCAGTAGAGCAAACGGGTTTTATCAGCTGCCACCAGTCGAACACCAACAAGGGTGAACTTTAAATTGCAAGCTTCACCCTTGTTGGTGTTAGAGTGGGAGTCTTCGTGAACCACTTCGAGGTATTTCGAGGGAGAGACTTCATCCTCCTGGCTGCGGCGACTAGCGGCTGTTTCGACCGAGCGGGGTCCGTGGTGGTGGAGGAGCGACTCGAGCCAGGCACTGGGCTGGAGCTCAGCGGGAACAACGATGAGCCGCGATCTCTCTCGAAATGTACACTGTTTATTTACATGATGTACAGTTGGTTCAAGACCAGAGAAGATATTTGCTTGTCAAAGTTCGCTCATTTTAAGCACTTGGTTCTCCCCAGGTCCCTAGGTAGGGACCCCTACATCGGCGGATAGTCGGCCAATCACAGAAAGGTGTCTAGTTCAAACACCGCCCCACATTCCACTATTACGCACACTGAGCCGCCGTAAACACTTCACCGTCGGTCTAGACGGCGCCGAGAGTCTCAACAAAACACCGGCTCGTTGGAATCCACGCAGCTGGTCAAAACACCGTCCGGGGCCGAGACGTGACGTGCCGACATTCGACTCTTCGTGTCTACGCGTTGAATGAAGGCGTCCTGATGATTTCATCGCCCCGGATCGTGCCCTGGTGTGAAACCTGAGATGTTGTTTTCCCTCTTCGGATGCTATATCCAGACGTGTGTACACGGCAAAGTCTGGCTATATCACGGCGCCCGTCTGGTGCGTCCGCGGGGCAGGCGTGCTTCCGAAGCGATGCTTGCGCCAGGCTCGCTGAGTCAGATGACCTTGAACCCATGGGAGGCGCTCGACGAAAACAAACGGCCAGATGTAGACATTGTGAAAGTGGTCCGGGGGCCATTCATAACACGGCCGACTACGCTGGGGGACTTGCGGATGGTCCCCAATACAAAGTAGAACTAAAACAACAAAGCCGCGAAGGCATAACTTGGTGACAATATGAACGTGCAAACTTCACGGACAGGCATGTCTGTGGTAGGACGATCTGTTTGTATGGAGAATAGGAACCGCGGTAATGTTGCACATGGGTTACACAAAGTAGCAAAAAGAAAACGTTGACAAGGCGGCAAATCAAAGCACACATCAAAACAAGGTTCATGAAGAAAAAAAGTTTTTTTTTCGTACAAATAAATAACTCCTCACGTTTTTTTTATTTTTGTATCTTTCGTGGACGTATTGTTTTACGTAACTGAAAAAACGAAATTTCCCGGTGATTTATTGGGGTATTTTACGCAATATTGAGAACAGTCTGATGTTTATTCCTTTCAGAGTTGTTTCGTACAACATCACCGCTAAGCAACACATAATACGTTCTGTGTTACAACTGCCTGTTCCACAATAATGGAACAAAAGTTTTTTTTTTTTATTTGCTTGTTAGCTGTTGTGTTGTGTTGGATAACTTATACTGAGAGTTGAGCCAATGTCGCCATATCGCAAAGGCAGACATTCTCGGTATAAACAATTACACAACTTTCATTTTTGCTTCTCCAGTCAATGTGGATCCCCACAAAGAAACCCAGACTAGCAAGCTGCATTCGCGGCGCCAGCGTTGTGCCAGGCAAAAAACTGTTTCACGTGCGCTCGTGTCTGCAGCGCCCCGTGCACTGCCTCGAGATGACAGGGAAAGCGCGAACACTTGGCCTTAATAGACCATTTGCTATATTACCCAAGCATCAAGAAGAATGCAGAGATTGGTGTTCCACGCGCCACACGCGCACGCCTTTCCCGTACAAAAGATTCGAAGTAAATAACCAAACTAAAACGGTGACGAAAGCGCGTGCAAGATACAATTTGTTTTAGGTTTTTGCTTTAGAAAATTTACTACTGCTGAGGCCAGCACGTGCAGCGCGTGGAACACCAATTCCTGCATTCTCCTTGATGCTTGGGTAATAAGCAATAGGGCGACGTGCGTGACCACTGATCTCTATTGTAGTAGGCTGGATCGCGGACCGCGGCCTCGGCAGCTGGGGCGGAGTGTCGCCACCGGCGGCCATTGATTGACACCAGCCAATGCATGGGGCTCTATGGGAAGAACGAGAAAAAGCGCCGTTTCCCCCGTTTCTAAGCTGCTGTCGGCACTGAAACTTTTTGGATACTTTTCGATAAGCCCGTCAAATAGCTTGCGTACAAACATTAAAACTGACAGCCCTCGCAGCTCTTATAAATAAATGTTTTGTGGTCGAGAGTGACTCCGCTGTAGTGCAGCTCAATGAGGCGAGAGTAACCTAGAGTTAGCGCGGAGTCGGTGGCGGTTTCGTTGAGTTGGGTTTAGCAGACGACAAGCTCGAAGGCTTTTTGCTCTGCACAATTCGAATACTCCCGGAAAGCCGCGGTCGAGAGGGAACTTCTTTGTCATTCATCAACTTCTGGACTTCCCCGAGACGGTCTCATTGACGGCAAATTCCTTTGTTTACTCCACTACGAGAGCAAGCTCGCCAGCTCAGCTGTTGGTGCTCCGGTACGTTTGATTTTTTTAATCGGCGTTCGAACGTTTGACAAATACCGATTCAATCTCCAAACACCCGACATAAGGGTCGCAGCACGCTACAAAAATACTCGCCTCCGAGCGCAGCCTACATGCTTCAATATTCTTACTTTTGTGCGTTTCTCCCATAGCATTGCCTGGTGTCAAGCAATGGCCGCCGGTGGCGACACCGACGGGCTCCCGATCCGCGATCCAGCCTACTACAATTAGCGGCGAGAAGTTTTGGTGGCGCCCTCCTATGGTTCCCCCTTGTGACGTCATTACCTTGCGAACAACAAGTTCGATGGTGTTTGTAAATAGCATGGTGCAAGCCTGAAATCATTGCGCTCTCAAAGGAACACTGCCAACACCGTCGAAATTAAAGTTCTTTCACTCCTCTTATTTCCGCCGATGGTATAGCCTTTCCGACGTCATAGTCAGCTTTTGGGCCAATAGTGGAATAGGGAGGCTCAAGTGAGGGTGGGTGCAACTGCTAGATCGGCGATCACGGGACATGGACGCCATTTAATTGCTAAATTTTGCTGGGAGTCTATGGGGCAAAGGGTCGTTTTCTTTCCTAACTCGGGTCATAAAAGCCCATTAAGGTGCTTGAATAATTTACACAAGGTATAAATGATTACTTTTCCATAGCCACCAGTTTTGTTGCGATAGGTTAAATATTTTTTTAACGCGAAAAATGGTAAATTCCGCCATCTTGGACGCTGCTGCTTGTCTGGCAACTTTGCTTTCTCCGCTCGACGTTTGCAATTCTCGGAGCGAGAAGGAAGCGAGAGAGGCTGCGCCAAGGCGCTCGTTGCTTGCAATGGGAGGCGAGAGGAGGAAAGGCGCATGGAGCAACAGAGTTGCAACAGAGCGGGCGCCTGCTCTCGTGCAGGCAACACTGGCGCATATCCTTTCTCGAATCCTCTCCCTCTGGCGCCGCCATTAAATTGCAAACGCTCTCCAGGTTTTGAGTTGCGCCCACCCTCACTACAGCCTCCCTATAGTGGAAGGCCGACCACAGCGACGCTTTCGGTCGCGCACGTCGCCAATAGAGATCAGTGTGCGTGACCAAAAGCGTCGCTGTAGTCAGCATTTATGGTTGACCAAACACTCAATGTGATGTTTTTATTCGAATTACTTTTGCTTTCATCGATGGAAATAAGAACGACATACAGTCAACTTTTGCCCAAGTGGTTTTTAAGAATGTGGTGACTCCAAGCTTTCGTCGTGCTTTTTACATACTCGCCATCCAACTTGTAGTTTGCAACTGATTATAACTAGCCAGGATTACAACTCGTACCATCACGGAGAGGCAAATTCTGGTCTTGACGTCCCGAACGGAAGCTAAAAGAGGGCGCCACCGAACCATCTCGTTGAGGCTACACATTATACACCGTAGGATGCATTTTGTGTGCCCTATAGTATACCTATAGACGCCTTGCAGCAGCGGTGCATGTGCGCCGCCATAACCAACTTTCAGTTTTTTTGTTTTTCATCTTATTTGGACCACTTTGCTCCATCATTACCAAAGCAGGACAGGTTAGTGACGCTTTAGATTTGACTGGGTCCTCTCCCCATCATGGGCCTTTGTCGAGGCTCGTCAAAGCTTACTTCAGTGGCTCGGTACATCACGGTAAGACAAGAGGTCAGCAATGACGGCTGTAATCTGGCGCGTCTACGGTAGCTGTATCGAGTTAGGGACGCTGACTCGTGTGTGCCATTTCCCCTCTTTCCTCCATACTCGAGTGACCACAACGCTGCGTTGAGCGCGATCGAGCAAATAAAGAGTGGTGGATGCACATTAAAATAAGTGTTACTGAGGGCAGTAATAGCTATCTCTGTCGCTTCTTCAAACATTGTATTGTCTGTGGGAGGATTGGCGCGTCAACTTTCGAATGACCCTTCTTTTTTCTTTTCGAAGTTGGCAGCGTGGGACACTCGCTTCCAGCGGCGAAACGTGAGAGAAGAATCAGCCTTTCGAATCCGCGCGGTGACGGAGGATCCTCTTCTACCGCCGCGTACGACGTCGTGATTGCTCGTGAGTGACAAGAAGAAAGGTCCCGCTTCTTTTCGAGTGCCTCCCACCGGCTCCCCTGCGGTTTCCAGGGCTGGTCGAGAGGGCTATACTCGGTCTCGCCTTACGATGGAATGCAGCGGACTCTACGAGCCAATCCAGGCCAATCCAGCGCTGCGAACGTACCACGACGACTGGTCCCGCGCGTCGCTTCGGCCCTGCCCACCTGAAGCCGGTGGGGGCGGTAACGCGTTACCGGTAACACGTAATTTTTTTTAATAACGTACACTAACCTTTTTGAGACATCGTTCTGTCTATTTTCTGTCCCTTGTAAGTTTTGATGTTTCTTCTCTACCCCCGTCTCAGGTTAATTCAACATGACTAACCCACAGTTACTCTTTGAAAGCAGCAACGAAGAACCGGACTTACGTTACTCATTTCGAGTTACAGGTAACGTCGTTACATTCCTCGTTACATCTTCTTCCGAAAAACAAAACAAAAAGGTTACGCGTCAATTTTTGTGTGTTTGTAGGCGCGCAAGTCACGCACACTCACCCACAACAAACCTTTAAAATCTAAATCGTAAAAAAATACGGTAATTTTACGTTAATTTTCTGCATGGACATAATATTTCTTGAAATAATGCGCTTATGCATACCTGTAACGTCAAAACAGTGAAAACGTTTGAATTCACGAAAAGAAAGTAACGCGAAAGTAATGTGCCTTACTTTTTTTTTATCGGTAACGATATCCGTCACGCGTTCTCTTTATTAAAGATAAGTTTAGTAGATCGTTCCGATAGCTCCGATACCCCCAATAGAGAGTTTTAGGGAACCCTTTTTGCACATCCGATACGCGTACATGATGGGCCTTTCGGTACGAACTGCGAATGCGCTACAGCAGAAGACCCGCGCATGCGCAGTTAGTACCGGACGGCCATCGCACCGTATCGGGTGTGCAAAAAGGGTTCCCTAAGACTCTCTAATAGAGAGTTTTAGTAGATCGTTCCGATACCTCCGATAGCCCCGATAACGATACTATGCATGCGCAAGGGAGGCTGTGGCGGAGTATCGGGTATCGTTATCGGAGTCATGGGAACGATCTACTAAAACTCTCTAATAACGGTACCCGATAACGATACGATGCATGCGCAAAAAAGGCAGCGGAGTATCGGGTTTCGTTATCGGAGTCATCGCAAACATCTACTAAAATTATATTTTGAGGTAACGTAGGTCGGGTGTAACGCGTTTCTTTTATTACATAGTAACGAGTAACAGATTTAGTGACTTATTGTTCTTCGGTAACGCCTACAACATTGCCCGAAACGCGAAAGCTGGATTGGCTACGATGGCTCGTATCATCCTCTGCGCTCCATCGGAGCTGAAAGGGAGCATGGTAGAGTGGCGGTCGAGGGAGAGAGAGAAGAACGGTCTCTTCTTCGAGTGAGACGAGATTTCTCAGGAAGGGGAACGGTCGGAAGAAATTGCACTCGGTTTTTGAGCTGCTGCGGCGCCGTCTCGTAGACTCCGGTTGTGTGCCTCTGTCCGGTTGCTTTTGAAGGGTCGATTGCTTTCGCGAACATGCGCTGCCCGTGTTATGGCTAGAGCAGGGAATGGAAGCGGACGACGGGACAGTTCGCGGCCCTCCTCTTTCTCAAGAGAGACAAAATTAAAAGTAGTATCTATATATATATTTCTTTTTAACATGCCGTTTTCTTTTCTTTTTTTTTTTTAAATATAAGTAGTCTCTACTTGATGAAATTAATTTCCAGACAAACCTGGTAGAACGCAAAAAAAATGAAGCGACCTACTTTTTTTTTTGTTCAAGTATCGTTGGGCGGAAAGAAGCTAGCAGGGAGCTCTGAAAAGTACAGTCATTCTCAATCTAAGGAGAAAACGAGCGAGCGGAGGTACGGAGGCGGTGGCGCCTGTTCAATGGGAAAGGTAGTCTCTGCATCAGCACAAAGAGTGGACCACCTCACGCTAAAGTCAGGAGAGTGCTTTTCATTCTTCGTGAGCCCATCTATAGATTCGCTGGTGACGGGTAGCTTTATAGAGACGTTTCTTGTATACAGATATTTTGATATCCACACACCGGCGAAGCAAGCGTACATCTTCGCACCGCAACCACACGCAGTTCGTGTGCTTGGCGGCATTGGACAATAAGTTCCATGTCTTTAAATACGCACGAACAACAGTTCCAATGTGATATGTGGAAATGATCATGATTTATAAGCGGATTGCATGCTCAGTGCCAGAGACGCTTATATTGGCGAGGAACGCTCTCTGTACGATGATGCTCCCTGGAGGTCTTGGCAAGATTAGCCCAGAACGGCCATAAGCTTCGAAGATTTGAATGGACCAAAATGGCAATTGCCATAGCAACTGAGACCAATCAAATCATTTTGCGAGGTTTGGTCATCTGTGTGTTCGAATTTGTTCGTGTCCCTCTAAAAGGCAAGGAAGGCAACGGCGTTACTTTCCGAGAATACAGTGACTTGGGTTTCCACGGCTCAGCAGGCGCGTGTACGTCTCTTCGGGAAGCGAGCAAAGCACGTGCCATAAGCACGAACCCCAAAAATTTATATCATCGTAACTGGCTGAAAACAAGAGTACGAGCGCGAGCACGTATGCTGCTTTGAGCAACGCCGCACGGCGGAGTTGCGACCTGCGACTTATGGCAGTTACCCGGGAAACCTCTAGAACAGTGGTTCTCAACCATTGCTGTTTTGCGGACCCCTTGTGGATCGGCGCAGATGATGGAGGACCCGGTTCGTGACGGGAGGAAGGAAAATGTATAGGTTAATTTTGATAATGATTTAATATTTGGATGTAACTAAGGGCTAGTGTGAAGTACACTTCTCTCATTGACACTCGCACGAGAGATCTTGCCCGAAAATTGGAATGCTTCTTCTCAATCTGAGAAAAGGCAACTTCTACTACCGGGCTTGACTGATGAGGCAGGTCCTCGCGGACCTCTACAATGCCTTCGCCGACCCCAAAGGGCCCGCGGAACCCCATTTGAGAACCACTGCTCTACAATATGGTGGGCTAGAAGGGGAGATGTGACGATCATGCGGTCGAGAGCAGTCCCGCGATCTAAGCTCACAGAGCGCACTGTAATCTGCATGCGCGGCGTGTGTATGAAGGCACTCTACATGCGCGCAGGATGCAATGCCACCTTGCACGTTTGAAGAAATAATGTCAAGAAAAAAGGGCGGATTTAGCGTTTCATTTCACAATGGACAGACATGCAATTGAGGTGCAAAAGGAAAAACTACCTATTTATATATTAATATTTCTCGCTCGCTTTGTTTATTCTTAACCCAATCCACTTTTTTTTCTTTTTTTAATCATGGTTCAGGAGGTTTCTTTTTTCAACGAGGTTCATTCACGCGCGTCCGAAAGAGGCTTTCAAAGCGAGAGGCTCGTGCCAACGCTCGTGTTGTGCACGCCTGTTCTCTGCCCGTACACCTGGAGCTGGCGATTTCCTAATACAAGATGGATTTCCCAAGAATTAACTGGTCTTTGCGGCTGTCCCACTACGGCCATCTTACAGATGCCTGTCATGGCGATAGTGATGTGTGCGGCATAAAGCGTGTGACCGCTCTTAACCGCTGGGGAGAAGCGAGCGTTCACATCACCTCTGCTTAGTCCACCATGTCTACAGTGCGTAGAAGCTTGACCTTACACGCTCATCGGGCTTTCTTGCATCAGTGGAAACCTCAGTTAAAATGCACCGGACGACGAGTTTGACACCCCTCGGTGTCAATACCGTTCGCACCCGACACCTTGTCGTCTTCTAATGGGATCATCTAACATTAATACGTAGCTACCTCGTGCGTTTAGAAGATATGATTCGAATATTGCAACATGCACCCGGATATTCACGGCCCCGTTCCAATTTATGGGAGGCTCCCCGTCGACCGTTTCTTTCTCTCCGCTCGCGTCGAAAGAGGGCCAACATGCCGATAGCATCTCTCTGTCCGAATCTTCGTCGCGCACGCATGCACGCTGCTGCAGGTATCCCTCAGCTCGGGGGCATTGCAAATGAGCGTCTTCGCCCCGGAATGTGCCGACGACGAGAGAGCGCGTTTCTGTTCGGGCATCGTCGGGACCACCTCCGGCGCTGTTTTGCGCCTCTCGGTTATTAGGGTTCGTCGAGTCGTTACGTATCCGTCCCAAAGGAAACGGATTTCACTCGCATTTTTCGGCACCAGCGCGCGATGGGGTCGTCGCCTTTTGGCCATAAAATTTCGGCCGCACCGCTGCTAACACACCATACAGAAGACAGTCACAGATTCGAACGCGAGTCACTGCGCGAGATCCGTGCTTCGAATGCCGCATGGAACGAGTTCAAGGAGGAAACTTGGGCATGCGGCATTCGAACCACGGAATATTCCGGAGACTCGTGTTTGCATACCGTCTTTTGTATGATGTATGAGCAGTGTGATTCCGGCTTATTAGAGCCCTTGCCTTCCTTCCCACCACGATATGCCGTTTCATTTCCGGCATATGCAGTATAACAATAAAAAAAGTACGTGTTTTTGTTTTGTTTTGCAGAGCACGTAAACAGTCAATTACAACGAAAGGGATCGGTGGACGAGTGTGTTAAACCATAGCCTCTTCTATACTGACAAAGCCTGGCAGATCGCCACGAGAAGCGGCCGCCGACCGACTAGCACCAACCACTAGGATCGCGACATCCGACAGCATGACATAGGGAGCCTACGGCCCCTAAACGACGTGACCCCCATCGAACAGTTGGACGCTCTGTGTAGTTACAGACTCTCTAGCATAACACTCCGGCTTCTGTGACGTCTCGGGACCACTTTGGGAGTGATAGGACGCTAAGCTGACCAGTGAGAAACGGGGAGGGGGTATGTTTATACAGCCTAGAACTTAGTTTGCCTCAACGGGCGACGAGTCTCCCAGCTGTGGATGAGCAAATCTAGCCCGTGCGGTACAACCGCTAGTCTGGGGTCTTTAACGTTCATCAACATGAACGGATACATGACCGCCCGCCGGTACGATGCTCATCCAGATCGAAATGGCCAGGGGTGGGGACTCAACCCAGGATGCTGGGTTCTGCAGCGCGAGCCTTCGCTCCACGTGCTCCGAGCTGGTGTGCGCTAGCCCACTCGGCCACCGATCCCCCGAACAGTGGGAGACGACGCGTTCTAGGCGCCGCACTACAGGTAAAGAGCTACTGTGCATTGCACACAATTTTTT